GATTTTTTGCAACACGTCAAGCTTTGATTCATTACAGCAGCCCCAAACGGAACAACAGTAGCTCAAATGGGGCTCAACAATTCCTCTATACATTTTGTTGAGGATGTCAGATGGAAGATATTTCTTATAATACTTAATAAGTCCAAGGGCTCGATTAGCCTTGGTCTTGATAGTATCGATATGCTTGTCCCAGTTGAGCTTACTGTCTATCTGAACACCTAAGTATCTTGTGTTGGTGATCATTTCAATGTTCTGATCACCTATTGAAAAAGAAAAAGATGGTGGAGCATCAGGCTGGCTTTCGATCTTACGGATGTTTGGACTAGAGCCTATAACAAGTGACTGCGTTTTCACTACGTTCAAGGAAAGTTTATTTGCATGCAGCCAATCTTGTAGTTTCAAAAGATCTAAGTTTAGGTCATTTTGAAGGTCACCAATACTTTTTGAAGAGAGGGAAATGGCCGTGTCATCAGCATACATGCTGACATGAGATTTTTGCAAGGAAAAAGGCAAATCATTGATGTAAATCAGGAACAAGAGTGGACCAAGACAAGAGCCTTGGGGAACTCCACAATTTATTCCCCTCACATCAGAGGAGGTGCCATCCACCCTGCAGAATTGTTTACGATTTTCCAAATATGATGTGAACCAGTCATGTTCCAGGCCGGTCACTCCGTACATATTCATTTTTTCCAGAAGGATTTTATGATCGACCGTGTCGAAAGCCTTTTTCAAGTCAATAAAGACTAGACCAGTGTATTTTCCTTTATCTATATTCAGGTACCAATCATTGGTGCTAGCCAGAAGGGCTGTGGCTACCGAGTGTAAGAGTCGAAAACCCGACTGATGCTCATATAGTGATTTATTCGCATCCAGGTATCCATAAAACTGATTGAAAATTAATTTCTCAAATAGCCTAGATATGAAAGGAAGAACTGATATTGGTCTATAGTTCGACCTGTCATCCTTTGCGCCACTCTTGAAGATGGGTGCAATACGCGCTATTATCCAGTCCTCCGGAAATTTTCCTGCAAACAATGATTTATTGAAGAGATCACACAAGGACCCGCCAACCACTGGCAAAGCAATCTTCAAATAAAAGCTCACAATGCCATCGTGACCTGAACCATGCGATGTCTTCATCTTATTCAAGGTTGATGATAATTTATCTGTCATGATGGCAGAAAAAGAGAAACTTAATGGAGGAGTTTCAAACGGGTATTCACCAGACAAGAGTGGATTGAATTTATTTGGAATTTTATCGCTAAGTTTATTCCCAATGCTGCAGAAGTACTCATTCATTGAAGATGCAATTGCTTTGTTACTCCTATCTGCTATTTTTTACCAGAAAGTACTTATTTCAACATTGTAAGGGCGTGTATATTGAATAAAAGTCGTTCAGCATGAAACTGTCTTTCAGAATAGGTACATATTCATGGTTTTAGCGACATCAAAATTGGTACCCCTAATGATCAGTGCGCCATATAGGATTTGCCCAAATAAGGAATTCCCAATGTCCAATTGATGGGGCTTTTTCTGGTTATTCCCAGTATTGTACGGAACCTATGTGCCAAATTACAGCTTTTTATTATTTTTGTCCGGGTAAAATCGTAATTCCACCACACTAGTTGAACTAAGTTTCGTACCAAGAATACATTGAGAGCTTTTTTGACATTGTGCTCACTAAAACCAGTGGCGTAACGGAGCAGTGTGGGGGCCCTTAGTGAAAGTCGTGTTTTGGGGCCCCCATACTTAACTAAGGTTGAGTCAAATTTTAGAGCTTAATCACTCACTCTTTCGGGTTTTCCCGAAAAACCCCATACAGATAACATAGAACAATATACGAAGAGAGATTCTGCCGCCAAATAAACTTTTATGCTCTCTAATGGTGGCACATTAAATGAAATAACAGCTCCTCTTCTTCCGTAATACTTTGAATGTGAAACTTCATATCAAAACATTAAAGAAATCTGTGCAGGTGTGAATAATAAATGTTTGCTTATGCTGCCTTCACACTGGCGTAGTTAAACCAGCTACATTTATACTGAGTTTTATTTCAACCAATCAAACGCGTCCAATTTGTTGGATAGACCAAGTAGATGGCCTAACTCAATAATATGACTGATTTTAAGCCGGTTCAACTCGCAAAAGTGAATGGGCATTAGACCTTCAAAATTATAGATACTGTCAAAATTTGAATGACTAGACTACTTTTCTGCAACAAATTCCAACATAGCTTTAAACTTTCTATCCTTATGTGGTCCTTATGAATAATGAAGAATATTTTAAGACCCAGATGAAGAAACATTATCAATGCAATTTCCGTAAAATTATGTGATAATTTGTTCACAAATGCTTAAAAAACGTCATGAATATGATTTTATTTGAAATGTTATCAGGAAAAAGAACTTTCAAGTTCTATATGCCAATTCTTTTATGCCTTCGAGCATTGACATGTGCGAATTGCTCAATGAGTTCAGTCTTATCAATTGATTTGGCTTCTGAATTTTCTATGGACAGTATTGCCAAGTTATCGAGTCTTTCTTGAGATATCTTTGACCTTAAGTACGTTTTAATCAATATAGGTTTTGAAAATGATCTCTTAGCTGTGGCAACCGCAACTGGAATTGTTACAAACAGAATTAGTAATTTGTACACTTCTGGAAAGGATGAACTCACTCGGATTTTTGCCAACCTTATCTTAAAATTCAGTAAAAATTGATTTTTCAAGATAACTGGCTGATCTTTGGCCCAAGTAATCATCAATAGCTGCCTTTTATGTAAATGATCTTATTTTGCCAAAATTTTATCTAATAAAAAGTAAGTAAGTAAGTAAGTAAGTAAGTAAGTAAGTAAGTAAGTAAGTAAGTAAGTAAGTAAGTAAGTAAGTAAGTAAGTAAGTAAGTAAGTAAGTAAGTAAGTAAGTAAGTAAGTAAGTAAGTTAGTAAGTAAGTAAGTAAAGTAAGTAAGTAAGTAAGTAATAAGTCAAGTACAGTAAGTAAGTAAGTAAGTAAGTAAGTAAGTAAGTAAGTAAGTAAGTAAGTTAATGATGTGGGCTTACTAAAGATATAAGGTTTGCTGTGTGCATCAAAGATACCCCCATCCTACTATAGAATAGTAATTGCTGTGCTAGCTAACTATGCTGAAATGATAAACATACTGGCACCGCGGAAGGGGGCTGTTCTTAAAATCATACAAAGTCGACTTGTTCTTGATTATGAGCATGCTTAGCGCCCCACCCCCAAAAAGGTTCAGCCCCCTCACTCTTTAATATGCTCCGCGGTTCATGAAAAACATACCAAAGGGAGTACAGCCATTCCTGCTTCTAGAGCATAAAAACGTTCTAATGTCTTGCTATTTAAACATATTAAGACTACTTATGCTTTGGTGGCTTTTTAATGATGTGGGCTTACTAAAGATATAAGGTTAGCAGTGTGCACAAAATATACCCCGATCCTACTAAAGAATAGCAATAGTCATTTATGCTAAAACAACCACGTCAGGTTTGCATGGCCAATAAGAGTATTTCACATTTCAAGGCGTTGCTTTCGTTCAATCGTACATTTACATATTCCCGAGCTACCCGAGTTTTCGTTTTTCACACAAAGTCAGAAATAAAATCAGTTTCTTTTCCCCCTTACAATGATGTGCAGTCTTTTGTTCGATGTGTAAAACTTTTGGATTTTATGAACAATTGTTCATGGTATGCAATGTTATAACTTAGTATTCTTATAAAGGAAACAGCGAGTGCATCGTCGAAAATATATATGGTCTTGGGTCCTGGTCCTGGGTCCTGGTCCTGGGTCCTGGTCCTGGGTCCTGGTCCTGGTCCTGGGTCCTGGTCCTGGGTCCTGGTCCTGGTCCTCGGTCCTGGGTCCTGGTCCTGGGTCCTGGTCCTCGGTCCTAGGTCCTGGTCCTGGTCCTGGGTCCTGGGTCCTGGGTCCTGGTCCTGGGTCCTGGTTCCTGGTCCTTGGTCCTGGTCCTGGGTCCTGGTCCTGGGTCCTGGGTCCTGGTCCTCGGTCCTGGTCCTGGTCCTGGTCCTGGTCCTGGATCCTGGTTCTTGGTCCTGGGTCCTGGTCCTGGGTCCTGGTCCTGGGTCCTGGTCCTCGGTCCTGGTCCTCGGTCCTGGTCCTCGGTCCTGGTCCTCGGTCCTGGTCCTCGTTCCTGCCTTAAGGTCCTGGGTCCTTGTTTTCCGGTATGCCGGTGTTGTTGGGTGCAATGTTCAGTTCGTTTGACCACCCTGTATTGAGCAGCATGTTGCTCAGTGAAATACTCACTTCGTTTGACCAGGGCTAGTCTTTGCATCAAGGCCAATAGGAAAATCTTTCCAGAGTTGATGTCAACTGGCATTCAGAAAAATACAAGATTTCATCTACAGATACAGTATGTCAGTGTAATCTAGAAGGCATTATTGGTGGGGTTGGAGATCGTAGACAATTTCCATTTACAGGACGGCCAAGTCTCATGGTTTGGCCATGAGAATCACGGATATTCACCTCTTCTCACAGTCTCACGACGGGAGTTACTTTTCTCACGGATTTCTTCCTGGGCCTCATTCTTCTTTCAGTTCAGATCATACGCCTTGCAGTGGTTGCTGAACACATTCCATTCCACTATATTGTTTATGACAAACAATTGCCCAGACATGTCGCGCGAATGATTGTCAAACACGTTAATTTATCAATTAATTTACTTACTCGGGAATGAAATACCAATGCAACATGAAGGGCATAAAGCTCCCTCAGAAAAACTGCCATTGACATCAGAAAGGTCAGTCATGAGGCTACGTTCCCACATCATCGAGAGCGAGTTGGGCCGTTGGTGCATCGGCGCCAATCGCTCAACCTACCATATAGGTGTTACTAAGGGAAGTTATACAATAACCCCCAAACATGATTGATAATTGGGAGGGAATGGACAGGAAAAGCCTCTTTTCCCCACTAATAGCCGATGCACCAGTCCTACCTAATAGCATCAGAAAACTCAAAGAAGCATAAAAGATGCCTAAAGGTATGAGAGGTTTCAACGATGCCATAAAAGAAACTCAACACGCAAAGTTATACATACTGAAAAGGCATTTAACATAAAGAAACAAATTGAGGGAGGGAGGGCTGGGAAAATACAATAAAACAGCCTAGTTGAATTGTGGTTTCACCAAGCAAGATGGGACCCACGCTATGCCAAAACCTTAAATACCCCTCGATTAACCAAGGGAATGAAAACGCCACGAAACACACATCATACCCTAGTTATACAAATCAAATTCACAGGAGGCCGAAAGACTCCCCGCATTGCCCATAATCTAGTAGAGCAGATACAAGAAAACCACGAGGAAGCGTGGAACAAGAAAACATAACGAAATAGTATTAACAACAATCTCATGCGATTTAGTTAACGCTCAAAAGCCCCTCGTGAAATTAACTCTGATTAAATTTCATTTAATCATCATTATTATTATTGTTCACTGCTTCAGTTGTATATTCTTGCGATTAAAAGCCTCTGTGTTTTTCTGGAATGTTTTTAATGTGAAATAAACAAATGTTCAGGCATTCTGAATGGTCTAGTTTTAAGCCATTTGAGCACTCCAGATCTACTAAAATTCGGAATTCTTCTGCCCCCCACTCTGGACCCCAGTTCCATTGTTCACTAGCTGCGCTCATGAAATCTCCCAGGTATTATTTTCTAAATCTTGGCAACATTGCAGGAATAAATTTGAATAAGATATAGATCAGTCATACATCAGTTTATCTCCACGTTCAGAGGCTAGAAAACACTTGCGGTCATATTGAAAATAAATGAAAACAATCAAGAATACCAATGAAAACCAATAAATGAAGCACTTTGCTGGCATTCCTTTTAAAACTGAAATAGGATTGTCGTTAGGAATAAAGAGCATACGATAGGGTATCGTGAAATCTTTTTGAAGCAGTTGTTTCTTAAACAGATCCAATGCAAAAATGACACCAGGGTCTGATCAAAACGGCGAGAGTCAAGGCGGGTGATCAAAACTTCGGCGCACCTTTTTATGAAAATCAAGGAATAACCAACAAGAAACGGGAAAGAGATGCCATCATGTCTGTCAGACTTGCGATTCTGTGCTTTTGTAGTCAATATTCAAGAAAAGATGAACCAAAACCGAGCAAACCAATAGCCTCTTGTCTAGAATAAGAACAGAACTGATAATTTTGGCATAATGTTTAGAATACGACGCAAAATGTGTTCCCTTCAATCATCATGCTTTTCTTGAACTCTAAATAAGATATTCGTTCATCGTGTAAAGTATGCTTTAACCAGGATGCTTCGGGCCGAGGAAAACTCCAAAACACTTGGGATCTGCTTGATTTTTATTTTTGCGTCGTCCAGTGGCGGTTTTAAGGAGGGTCCAGGGAAGCCATGGCCCCAGGCCCCTTGCGCCTATGATAGCCAAATAGGGGCCTCAAACCTAAGAAAGAAGATAGAAATTGTAAAGAACAAGGGCCCCGCAGATGTTTTTGGCTCCGGGCCCCGCAGTCCCTAAAACAGCCACTGGCGTGTCGATGAACTACCATGTTTTGTAACTGCTTGTACGACGGTAATGCAAAAATAAGATTGCTTTGTTGCTGATTTATAATTGAAACTCCCGCTGAAACTGCATTTAAGACAGAGACTGCCCTCTTGTTCCTCCAGAAACTTAATAAACTAAGTCAGTCTAAACTTGACCAGGTGTATAAGTAGCTGTGGCTCCAGACCCTTAACCTGAACGAATGTTTCCATTTAAACTTTTGTCTTGTTTTGCAAAAGTCATGACAATTCTAAGTGAGCTGGTTGTAAAAATTTGATTTTCTGCATAGTCTCAATACTCTTTAATTGTAGAATCAGCAACAAGGACAATCATAATCGCAAGAAACAATAGTAAATCAAATAATTGTTTACTTCAGTATGTTTCCTTCATTAAGGTATGAAACAAGCGTAACAATTTGCTCTGGCAATGGGCAAAAATTCAGTATCTTTTAAGACGCCATCGGTTTTAAGAATTTTATTGTCCTCTTCCGAAAAAGGAATTTTCCTGTATCAAAGACCGACAGCAAAAATGGAAATTTTCTCAATTTATTTTAATTTCTAATGGAAATTAACATAATGAGGTTGGCTAAACTAGTCATCAAATATCTACGAGATTCTATAATCTTTTCTTGGGAGTTAATATTCAAGGGCACTGTTTGCTCCTTCTGCCCCTCCTGGAAAAGGGCAGGAGGGGCAGCTGCTCCTGCAGCCCCTCCAGGGTAGGCGCCCCTGGTTGCAAATACCGCCAATCCTCTAATTTGCCTGCTCGAAATGCCCCCACCTTGGAAGTAGCATTTTTATTAAGCCCCCGACCCTCGAAAAGGCCCTCATCCTAGTATGCCCATTTTTGCATTATAATAAGCTTCCACATGGACCTTATTTGGGATGCAGCAGGAAGCTACACAATTCTATTAAACGAATGATAACATATTCAATCAGCAATTGAAACAACTAACAAAACGAATCATTGACTAATAGGAAAAGAAACGACATTGTTTTGGACTTAAGGATGTTTCTTGTCTCGCAGAGGCTAATCTTACGATCCTAATTGCCCAAGATATCATACCTAAGTACAAAGTAGGGGAACTAAATAGAATGGCAAGTGAAATGATCTTAAACGTCTTGAGATACTACAAAAGGGGCACTTTGCATGAAAACTTTTAGATGATTTTTATAAGCCCCTCTCGAATTAGCCCCCATGCATAAAAGTGCCTAAAATAAAAAGCATCTGAGTGCTTATGCGAGGATTTACGGCAATGATAATTTAGCTGTATTATTAGGGATTGCTATACAAAAAATTCGAATTGAATTGAAACGAATGGTCAGACCAGATTCTGGCGATTCTTTGAATCTTCGAATTCCTCTTTTATTTTCTTTTTTATATCGTAACTTCCTTATTTCTTGAATTGCTTTTTTGAATTGATTTTTGCTGCTTATGATAAATTGATATGTTTAACTGTCAGCAACAGTTTAAGCCTAACGCTGGTCAAGGTCTGCAATGTATAAAAATCCTCTCCATAAGCAGTTGCTGGAATTTCAGGTCTTTATTTCCCTTTTTTGTGTTTTTGATTGGCCCATTTTGCTGGTTTTTTTAAAAATATAAATAACTATTAGGTAGCTCTTTAAACATCAGATCATGGCTTGGAAGCAGTTGAGAAAACCACTCTGGGTCTACTTTTTGCAAAGATATTGATCTCCTGAGTGAATTCCTTCAATAAACAATGCAATGATAACGGGCAACATTTAGATTGAGTAACTTTGTAACAGTCTATGTGCTTTTTTGCATTGTTGCACAAATTATTTTCTCAATTATCGATCGGTTTCCATGCGATTTTCATTACGCATGTTTCAACTGTGATTCTTCTTGCTAATAAATGACTGCCAAGTATGTCCACAAATTGCTTGTATATTTGTCCAATTTCAGTATCTGCTGATTGATTTGAAAGCATGTGATAAACATTATCAAATTGAAATTGCGCTCCTTACATAGAATCAATTGTTGTAAAAGCTCTTTTAGTATCACCAGAGCTGGTCATGTTATCATGCTAATCCAAAACATAAAAAGTTTTTATTTGAATTTGGGTAAATGGAACAGTATAACTTCTTTTGATTCTCTACGGCGGATTAAGAGTGGTTAGGCGTGCAAGGGCCTGTTTCTTAAATGCATGAACACGATCTCATGTTTCAACTTCCTCAATACAGAATAGGCTTTTCGTTGATGATTAAACCTTCTGGCCTTTGGTCTTTTATGTTATAATAATGTTGACATCGATTTTCTTCCAGTCAGTTTGCGAAACTGATTATTTTATCCAAATCTTAGACTTCTGTTTGGTTGAAGCAAAATTCATAAGACCTTTCTGCATAATTACAACTTACATAGACCATCACATTATAGTCAATACTGCATCTTAAATGCTTTCAGAATAATATTTTATGGTCACTCCGCCTACTAAAGGTTTGGATAGAGTAATGAGGGGAAGTTTTTTCGACGGCTGACATCGATGCATTTGGATTAAAGACAACATTAAACACGATTCTGAGAGAGATCAGACAATTGTAAAGACTGACCAGAGTGTCGTAGCTTTAGTTTCGTAAAAACGGAACAAACATACAATCCTTGCCAGGACCTCTTGGAAAACGCAAAACTGCGCTATTTCTCTGAACCACCTAACTTCTAAAACCGCACAATCAGGCCCGTAGCCAAGGGGTGACATGGTGTGGCAAGACCGGTTGTTTGCCACCCCGAGAATTTGGTCTCTAAGATTTTGGTTTTTTCGTCGTTTTCTTTGGATCGCCGTGATAGTTTGAGTCAAGCCTATAGTGGTGGAAAGAAAATAGTTTTGGGGTCTCTTTTATCCATGTAGGACCTAAGACAGAAGAACATTCGCTGCTAAGCCAAAACTTGGCGCTAATTGGGCGCTTCTCAGAAAAATTGCTAAAACGTTTGCATACCACAAATTATGTAGGAATGTTATGTTCTGTCGTGTTAGAGAACACATGTTTCTTTAGTTAGCCTACAGAATTACAAAAAAACGCTGAAATTTTTTCAAAATCAAGATCATGGAGTTTAAGAAGCGAAGACCGTGGCTTGGCTTGCTGCATCAGCTAGAAGAGGATAAGGACCGCTGAATGTTCATTTTTGTAAACTGCATGCTGGACATTCTAACGCCATTTTACATCATCTTAAGTTAAAACAGCTTCAATTTTCCAGTCACAATCTTGTCACTGCACTGTCTGTAGTTAAAGCAGTGAGAGAGGACCTGAAAGAACGATGTGAAAACTTGACTGTGGTTCAAAGCGTGAAAATGGTTGCTGATTTTTAAAGAAAGCAATGTCCAGCGAAGAAGAGCTTTTGTTTCGAATCAATTAGCTGATTTTGTCAGTACCAAGCACTTTCAGTCTGTGAGTCATAAACGGTAATAGCTTCAAGTATTGAAGACAAGAATCGTTGCAGCTGATTGAAGTGGAGTTCAGCAGAAGGTCTGAATCAGTCAACACAGAGTTTTATGGGAGATAATGGAAGCTCTCTCGCCTCGTTTATCCAAATAAAATGAAGTTGATGTGGCTAGAAAGATGTGAAGTTGAAGTGGCTAAAAAGCGAGCTCGGAAAAATAGATTTAGCGTCTGCATAGAGAAAGCGTGCCGATATTAACATATTTTTGCTAATTTTTATGAGTTGCAGTTACTGCTTGCTTCACGTAAACACATAAGAACTTCGAAGAGTGTTTTCTTCATTAACAATAGTAGATTCCCCAAAGTGAAATTATTTGCAGACAGAGAAGAAGTGCAATCTTGCATGTCTAGTGTTTGAAAATAAGATCTTGATGGAAGAGGTAATTTTTGAAAGAAAATTGGTTAATTGTTTAATTTCAGAAATCGTTTTACATTTTCTTGCTTCTTTGTTTCAACTACCCCCCCCCCCCCATCTACAAAAAACTTCACTTTGAACTTCACCTGCATTTGCCCTGGGGAGTTTGCCCCCCATTCTTCAGAGGCCTGGCTACGGGCTTGCTCACAACTCCCCGTCCTCGCTCCCTAGACAACGTTGATTAGCAAGTTCGTAAATCTTGTAAATCTTGTTTATCAAAAAAATGTTTATAAAGCGTTGATAAAAAAAATTCAACATTAGGAGGAAGGGGGAATGGGGGCTGCGTGAAATTTCAAGTTAATTTTGTCAAGTTTTTTGGCAAGGATTGTAGCTACGATTTCGACATTGGGTTTATCTACTTCGGGAATGACTTATGCTTCTGTTATGCTTCTGTATACTTACGCTTATGTTATTAACTGTAGATTTCCAGTGAACACGTATATTTGATTAAGCCCAATCTACCTTCTCAAATTCATTATAAATTCGGTGGCAAAGAATGGTGCGCTGAATATTCTAAGCAGCCATTTTCGATGGCTACAACCTATTCTCGATGGTAGTACATAATTCAAAGCTCCTTTGAACAAAGAAAATTCTGAAGAAAAGACAACGACTTCGAAAATACAGGACAAAGCCTGGTAAGAGTAGCGTGTGATGGACAAGCGTAAGGTAAACTAGCGTGTGGTGGACTAGCCTGTGGTGAACTAGTGCGTGGTGGACTAGCGCCTGGTGGACAAGCGTGTGGTGGACAGGCGTATGGTGAATTAGCGTGTGGTGGACTAGCGTTTGGTAGACTAGCGTGTGGTGAACTAGTGTGTGGTGGACTAGCGTTTGGTAGACTAGCGTGTGGTGGACTAGCGTGTGGTGGACTAGCGTGTGATGGTCTAGCGTGTGATGGACAAGCGTATGATGGACTAGCGTGTGATGGGTTAGCGTATGGTGGACTAGCGCCTGGTGGACAAGCGTGTGGTGGACTAGCGTGTGGTGGACTAGCGTTTGGTAGACTAGCGTGTGGTGGACTAACGTGTGGTGGACTAGCGTGTGATGGACTAGCGTGTGATGGGCTAGCGTATGGTGGACTAGCGCCTGGTGGACTAGCGTGTGGTGGACTATCTTATGATAGACTAGCGTTACAGCGTAAACGGAACGGCTAAATGGAACAATTGTTAACCTTAACAGTACAAATTTTCCCGGGACTGTATAAACAGACTGTAAATGATCCGCAAATCTGATCAGCTTGACCTGATCCGCTCGATTCCGTTCGATCGACGGATAGTTTTGGATCGGAACTTGACTTACACCAGCCACTTATCATTACATCACTGTGGCCGAAACGTTCTGTTTTTTAGAGATTTGCTTATCGATTTTGGAAAATAGAAAAAACCACTGTAATGGAAAATTAAAAAAAAAAGAAATGATTTCAAATTCTTTTTCGAGTAATTTCAACTTTCTCGCGAAAAGCGGATATAGAATATTGTATATTGTGACAACTTAAGCTCTAGTCAAGCGATCCAACATTTCACCTAACATTTCGCCCAACATCATGTTTCGTGAAATGTTGGATCGTTTGACCACCTTGTTGGGTCACCCAACATCGTAAATTTCGATGTTAGACGAAATTTGACTGAGGTAAAAATTGTTGGCTGCCGACGTCCAACAATTCTATTGCCTTGAAGTGTTAAGTGAAATGTTGGATCGTTTGACCACCTTAGCCAACTTTGTTGGCTCAGCGCAAGCGCAGTTGGTTAAGGAGCGCCAAAATTCAATCATTGCATCGTTGTTGTTTTCTCGTTTCAACAATTGCGTTTGCTTACAATCAGTTACACTTCAATTATGGACAATATAACAGATTATAACGTATTATATGCGAAAGAAGAGGTTTCTAGCGTCATTGAAGAAACTGTAGCACAGAGGAGCTACAAGAAAGGGCAGGGGGACGAATTTAGGTCACGGCCTTGATAGGGGATGCGACGCTCGTCCTGAAAGATAGCGATGACAGTGAGAATATCTGAAGAGAAAATAAAAGAGAAGGCAGTGATTGCCTTTTATTTTTTCGGATCGAAATGTCGCGAAAATGTGCAGCCTTCAGCGAGAACTTCTACCCAGTCCTTTTTCGATCTGCGAGTGAAAATGTTGGGTGAAATGTTGGATGAAATGTTGGATCGTTTGACCACCATCGTTGGGTCACATTCCAACATAATAGAAAAGTGTTAGGCGAAATGTTGGGTGAAATGTTGGATCGTTTGACCACCATCGTTGGGTCACATTCCAACATAATAGAAAAGTGTCAGGCGAAATGTTGGGTGAAATGTTGGATCGTTTGACCAGGGCTTTACGTATGCAAAACGTGTGCAATATATAATCTGATCTGATCTGCGGATTGTTTTTATGTGTGTTTCAAATGTTTTAAATAATGTAATTATCAGTCCTGTTATGCAACGCTTTGTTGCTTATACTCTTCTTTTATCAAGGTATAGACACAAAATTTTGAAATACCTGTTCGACGAAAATTTAATTATTATTTGCCACATCAAGATCTTTTACAGACTGGCTATAAAAGTGCGTTCGAATCTCTACTGTAAACCATAAATTATAATAAGATAGCCCCTCTAAACTATGTATTCCAATAATATACTGAAAGTAACATAAAGCTATTACATGAAAAAATGACAAATCGCAGTCTAGTATATTGCGAAGTATAACCCTAATACTCTATGCTCCACAAAAAAACATGTGATTGATTATAGTTGCAGCAGTTGAGTTCTTCTCCTTTTACATTTGTGACTCGGAAGCGCTGATAGATTCATTTGTAATTTTCGTCCCTCCACTTGCCGAAGATCCTGACAGATATTTGTTGCTTGGTGATCTGCCAAAGATCGTGAGCAGCTCCTTCCGAAACATCGAGCCACTAAGGTTGTACAAAAGGAAGTTGACAGAGGAGTTGATGATGACACCAAGTTTTGCGAAGGCAAATGCCTTGTCTACGTGATCCCATTTCTCGCCTTTTCTTCCATTGTAGCCAAGCATAAAGAAACACTGGGTGATGCATTGCCAGGCAAGTAGTACAAGGAATGTAAATGTAACGGCCAGGAGCATTCGGGTCATTTGTTGGTCGTGCTCTTTGCTATCACGTGATTTTGAAAATTTCTTTGAGGCTTGCTCAGCTCTCTTTTGCAGTGCTCGAATGATGCCTCCATTGAAAAAGGCTATTGAAGCCCAGGGAGCCAGGACGAGGAAAATGCAGTGGACCCAAAACTCGTAGTTGACAGCACCCTTTGAGCTTCCGTACTTAGAGGGCTTGAAGCACTCAGTGTCATTTCCATCAGTATTACTAGGCTCAAAGTTAAGAAAATGTGGAATGTTTACAAAGAAGCAGAAGGCAAGAGTGATGCTTATACCAAGATATGCGCGAGAAGGAGAGCAAAAGTCTTTAGCCTTCACAGGAAAATTAACCATTATAAACCTGTTGAAAGTGACGCAGACCACAAGCCAGATACTTGACGCAATGAAATAGAAAAAGAATGGAAAACCAACGTAGCAGTGAAAGTAACAATAGGAGATCGAGCTTAACAGAGAAGGAAAGATTTTGGGAAGTGTGTCGTCAAGAAGAAAAAATATCAACAGACCACTGTCAGCCATAGCTAATGCAATGAGGTAAATGGCTGTTGATTTGTTCCTCCCAAAATTTTTCTTGAGGATCCTTTTCCAGATAATGATTGAAATTGCGTTACCGATCAGACCAAAAATGCTGATGATAACACCGACTGGAACGCTCATGATCCAATGGAACTGCTTTGGCGTCGCCTGGAAAAAACAGAATTTTTTGTGAGTATCAGCAGTTTAGTTTCCAAGTGTTTCAAAAGGGTTACTAAACACAAGAGTTAATTAGGCAGTTAGCGTACTAAGGTTCAGATAAAAAGGTTAAACGCAAAGCAAAGTGTAAATAAAAAGAAGTAAGATTGGAATTTGACTGGTAAGGTTTTATTGTAAGGTGGTAACTGTTGCTTCAATGGGTGCATTTTCTAGCGAACTGGAAGCATTCTTAAAATTTATCCATCCTTCTGCGGCAACAATGTTGTCACCTCGGGTAAAACTGTATTGCTTTTTGCTCCTGTCGAAGAAATCTGCAACCTTACAAAGGCTTATGCTATCCAAGTGAAAATAGTTCCCATTATGTATGATAATTAATGATGAAAATTTTGTGATGCTCTAGTCTTAAATGCGTTATACCAGAGGGATTTTAATAGAGCCTTTGCCCCATTGACTTTTTGACGATGGCCTAATTTCCAAAGATCTTCTGCATACGGCCTTGCACGCCTTAGCCTGCGCCGCAGACCAAATCCTCCAAAGCGCGCCTATACGGCCTTACTATTTCATCGCTAAGATCAATTTTAAGTTAAGTTTAACATATTGATTATGATGTTACTTAAGACTGCTGCTTTTACCACAAAATCACAAAACAATATACGATAAGATAAAGTTGGGGTAAATTGGAGAGGGTTTCAAACATTTACACTGAGATATTATTAAATTTATTCAAGAACGACAAAAACAACAATTAAGACACCCATTAAGAGGAAGTTAAAAGTTTCAAAAATTGATAAATAAGGGAGAGGGTCCCTTCAGTTTTCGACCTCGGAGAATACCTTATTTTGATATGAATTGAAAAATCCCTACTCGGCAACCTAGCACTAAACACCCCCCTAAGACATTTTGCCAGAGCTCTTCTCAAGTCTTCAAATTCGAAACATCTTTTCAAATGGTATATCATGGATCGCCAGTTCAACTTATGTTACATTTTAAGAAGTATTTTACGGAGTTCTTTCAGGCTATTTGCTGTTAATTCACAACTCTGAAACATAGATTTTTGTGACGTCACACTTTAGAAAGTTAACTGCTCTTTATGTTTTAGTAGCTTGCAAGGTCTTGATCATATCCACAAAAAAAGACAGCTGACAATTTGCATACGATAAGTTTGTGAAGTGACTGTGAAAACAACATTTGTACAACGTGCAGCCCTAGATCACTTCACAGGCAATATTCTTTTTGTATCATTTCTTGGTTTTTAAAACCCAATAATGTTGATGTCCTGTGAAGTACGTTCTCTGTTTAGGCCAATGTCGAAATAAACTAGCATCTCATCAAATAACAAAGAAAAAAATATGAGTTTGATTTTCTTTAAACAGCACTCATCATCACCAACAAGCGCTGTGTGACGAAACCAGATGGCCAAAAGGCTGGCTGGTAGAATTTTTTTGCTTGTTTGACCGGCGCACTTCTAAGCAACAGGACAACAGGAAAGATTGCAAAAAAAGTTGCTAAACCTTTTTATTTCTTAGAATGCCAAGAGGTGTGCATTTTATTTGACAGCATTATTTTCATGTCTCAGATATTTTATATTATGCACTATGTATCATAAACTACATAACACATATCACATGTTTACACTATATGCTGCTATTTACTATTGCATATAGACGTTTTTTGAATTTTTCAAGAATTGAATTTTTTCAGTATTAAGTTTAAATATAAGAATTTAGTTTTTGGAGTCTTTTACCTCTTTGCGTAGAAAGATAATAAGATATATGGTATGACCGCTTCATTTTGCTTTCGCTCCTAAATGTCGAACTATACTTAATTAGTGGGAAAACTGCTTAATTGAAATTAACTTCTAAAACTACATTTGCCTGAATTATTTTACATCAGACTACTCCTTTCACCTCTTACTGAAAGAATATAGGTCAAAAAATACATATGAATGAAATTGCAATAAAGTTTCCCTTATGCAAAATTAAATTACTAGCATTTCTGTGAAATGACCATCCATTTCCTCTAAACACACTCCCATCAATCATGGAATTAGACGATCTTGATTGTAACGGTAGGGTGATTCATTTGATTCTTGTGAATTCGAACAAGTTCTGCTCTGTCTACAGGTTCAGTTGGTGTGAAGGGTTTTTCGTTATCATCTTTCAACTGCATATTTTTAATAACATGATTTTTGGGGGCCTATTCTAGGGGGTCCAAAAGCCGCAAAACCGTGCAAAAATCCGCCAAACGGCGCGATCCGCAATGAAATAAAGCGCGAAAACGCGGTCGCCATGTTGAAACGTCACGAAACACCAAAAGCCATTTACTTGCTGATATGAGAAGGGATTGCTAAAAGTAACTGTTTCTTAAGCCTGGTTCCAACTTGGTCGTTTGGGTCGTTTGAGTCGTCAGAGTCGTTCCTGAAAGACACGAACGACCCAAAGAACACATTGTGGTTTCCACTTGGTCGTTTGAGTCTTTTGAGTCGTTTGTTGTTGATGCTGTTCATTGCTTGCACCATGCATCGCTCATTTAATTTTGGCGGCATGCGTGGAAGGAACGATGGTAGCATTTGATAAACAACAACTGATGTTGCAAAGTCAACTATTTCTACCTCTGGTGACTTTGTACAGACGACGATGTTAGATCATTAAATTTCAGTGCAATAGCTTGCCATGATTTGATATTTTTGTATTTATTTTTAAACTATTTCCAGTAATTGTTATAATGGCACTCGTATTTTTGAACTTCTTCCATAAAGCTTGCTGTGAAATATTCAGTTATCTTGTTCTTGTTCTAGTCAAACACGCGATTACAAGAAAATCTCCTATTCTTAAAGAAAAAGTTATTAAAGCGTGGGTCGTTTGAGTCGTTTGAGTGAAACTCGCAATTGTTTTGCTTTGCAAAACTGAAATAAACAAAAAAATTTAATCTTGACGAAGCTTGATTGGGCGTTGCATTATTCTTCAATTATTCTAAATTTTCAGCGATTTCGAGCTTTGATATTCTAATAGACTTATAGACTCAAGTGCGAGGACGGCTCAGTTGTTAGAGGCGCTGACTACAGAACCAAGGGTCCGTGGTTCGAGTCCCTGACATTATCAAACTTTCACCCAGAGTGGGGAGAGTCGCCAGCTCTCTGTAATTCCAGGCGTAGGAATCACGAGGTGTGTTCACATCGAAAGGAAGGTCCAGGACACTGCTCGATAAGCATAGCTTCTCAGTGTCCTGAAAACTTCCTTCGGATGCTAGGTAGCAACAAATACAAATGCAAATACTATATTCTATATTCAGGGTACACAAAGAGTCCTGAAATTTCCTAATATACCGTAAAAAATTTCCCTGGGGGCTCATTTATTTTTGATAATTTTTGGATCAGGCGTTATTAGAGAGGGGGGGGGGGCTTAAATGAGGGCGGAGTAAATTACTAGAAAATACACTGGTGACATAACTGCTAGAAAAACAAAATCTTCTAGAGCTCGCTGAACATAATGAAGAAAACATTATTAAAATAACTTCTTTATGTAGAAATCATAGTAGGAATTTTGGTAGGAATTTCTTTATGAACATTTAATTAATTATTATCAAAAATATGAATTTTTGTGGTAATTCAATAAAACGTCAGAGGCAACCTGAGGTGCCAGTTACACTATACCGGGTTGCTGTCGGAGTGGAGTAACTTTCATATCGGATAGGGGTTTCAGTTACACTACGCCACACCAATCTGGTACACAACGCTCTGATTAGCGGAGTGAAAATCACTCCGCTCTTGAGGTCACTCCTGAGTCACTCCCTAGCGAAGCGTTGTAGTGTAATCGCACGAATCCGATATGCTTCACTTCGAAACAAAGAATTTATATTGTTTTCTGATTGAAGCAATTCGATCGTTAGTGAACAATGGCGATTTCTGAGATTTTGTTGCTGTTGGATGATGCCAAATCGAAATCACCCCAATATTTTAGTATTTGGATTTTATCTCTACCCAAATTTTATTGAAGTGGCCCTTGGACGAAAAACATACTTTAACACATCAGATGGAACACAATCTCGCTATCCGTCCTACGAACCCCATCATTTATCTCTCAATTTCATAGTTGTTTTCGTTTTTTTATGCATAGCTATTGAAAAAGAAATCACAAACAGCACATAGATTCAAAAGTACCATCAAAAAATTTATGTACCAGAAATGCAAAAGAATGCAGGCTTATGAACGAGCGGAGCGTCGTAGAGTAACAGCTACCCTAAATATCACTCCGGAGTAAAAGTTACTCCGCTCTGCTCCGACAGCAATCCAGTATAGTGTCCCTCTAGCCTGAGATGGCAAAGGTCGACAAATCGAGGGGGGCCAATTCGATGATTTACAATAGTAGTGGTGGTTTATTCGAAGGGGGGGGGGGGTTGTTGACAGTTTATAGTCCTAGGGTGGGGGCTTGTTCGAGAGGGCGGGAGGAATTAGAGGATTTACGTAAATAAAAGAGGTCTCGAATAAAGTCCACGTTTCCGATGTTGTTTTGGTACTGGAAGCCTTGTATAAACCATGTTTTGTTTATATTGACCTTTTTGTAACGGAAGGGCGTGGTTGTACAAACTTTGCACGTGTAATTTCTTTACAAAAACAAGTGGTAAAATAAGAAGTGTAATGTGAGAGGTATTGTGAGAGTGTAAATTGTTTGGCAAAGAAATATGAATATTTCAGATTGCTTGATAGATGTATTAGGTTATGTAGGAGCATATCTCTCTCTTTTGTGTGTGCTATGACTGTTCGTATAAGATAGAATCATCCATATAAATTTTTGAAGCTTGTACATCATGTTAAGGTTGTGCATTACCGCAGTGTCAGGTAATGAAAAGCTTGGTTCCAAAAACCTGTAAAAGCACAAGTTGGTTGTAATTTTGATTTTTTTAAATCTGGTGCATGGCCCCTTCTGCTTACAAACAGATTATGAAACAATATGAAACCCTAGCCTTTATAATTTCTTGAGGTAGCTGCCCCG